CCTGGGTTTGTATTGACACAAAACTGAAAGCAACATCACTCATATGGAACACCCATGTCTAAAGCTGTGCCCAGCTACCGATATGCGGATCCACCGGCAACCTACCGCTAGAGGGCAATTGCGCAGAGAATAGCCTGCGCTAGCATGGAGATTGGGACCCTAAACCCACAATCCATAAACCCTGAATAATTAGAATAGAGTTTGAGGCCGTTTTAGGGTTTATGATACTAAAACCATAGTAAGGAAGCCAAGGAAGCCACCAAAATCGTATTGGTAATTTATTTGGGCCCTATATGAAACCCATTGAGCAGCGGACAGGGTGAAGCCGATAAGCTGGCCTTCACAGCCACCTCGTCGCCAGTCTCCTTCAGCTTTGCCTGTGCAGATTAATGTATAGGGGCCTTAATGATTAGAATAAGGTTTTTGGGCCCATTAAACTGTTCTTATAATAAGGAACCCCAGAATACTGTTGGTAATTTAGGCCCCTATATTGTGGCCTTACCAGGCCCCTGCAGGGACAAACATAGAACTCCTAGAAGCAACCCATCTTGTGCCATAAAATCGCTAGGCTCCTGAGTAGCCCCTTTATGATAAGGGTACCCTTTTTCCGACTATGACTATTTGTTTTCAAGAAGGGGACCCTAAAACACAAGGGGCAAAAGGGCACTACTCAGGAACCTAGATGAAGTAGGATACCTTTGGGGGGTTCGTTGCTTCACATCCCTGAGGGTGCCTGGGTATTGGCTGGAATAGGGCTTGAGGGCATATGTTGGCATACTTTCAACGGATTAACTCTTGTAGAATAGTAGCCTTCTGCAAGCGTAGGACCGGTCTACTTTGCCTTGCGGGCAATGTTAAAGTGTTACGAAATCTCCGCACCGAGGCCATCTAACGTGGAACAACCCGCACATAGTACTCCCGAGCACCAAGCCCTGCGATCGCACATCATAACCCCAACTCCCATGACCGCAAACCCAATGCGTTACCCGACGTGTTGGGTCGACTTCCGGTTGGTGTTGCTGGAAGGCAAGCTTCGACCTGCATGCTCAGCGAACGCCCGTGTCGGACCACAGCTGACGATCACATATTTGGACGCCTCCATACGCCTCTAGATGACTCGAAGCTCGGAGTTCTGCCCAAACCCGAGATTCATACGTTTCAGGAAGTAGGTGAAAGGACTGTCCGCCACCGTGAAATTAACATACTTTCTCACCCGATGGTTTGATGGCACAGAGTTCCTTTTGATTTAACGATTTGAATGATTTGAAGCAGGACTCCCGAACAGCTTCCAAAACAAACCCCAAATGGCTGGTCACCTGACCAACCAAAAACGTGCATTCTGCGATGTACGCCGCAAATAGACCTGAGTCCTACTCTCCCAATGTTCAGTCGGGTTCAAAAAACACGGAAACCGCAAAAACTTTGGCACCTCCAACGAGCACATCCCGAAACTACACACTGCATCAACCGCAAATCGGAGATGCATACATTAATAAGCTTAACCTGAACGCGTCAACTGCCTTGTAAACTTGGGCCAAGCTCGCTGCAGCCACCGGCTCCGCTGAAAACTCGGAAAACACCTCGGGAACACACACTTTCGGTTTCAGGCTTTCGATTTGTTACGGCTGTTTCGACCTAAAAATGCTTCCAACATATTGGGTACAGAGCTTACAGCTTGCACTTCGGTCATCCTGCAATTATTTGGCGTTTGGCGATCGATATTTCGGACCAAGATTGAGGCTTCTAGTCCCACGGCCATGTTGCGAAGCTGGGTGTCTCCCTGCATACTTGTGCACGACACCGGGTGGCGTCTTCCTAGCACACGACCTTGCTCTTTGATCTCATTTTTCTACGGGACCTATCGTGAAATGGACAGTGATGGGCCAGATGTCAATTCTATGATATGCTCGTGGGTACAGCCTGGTTGGTAGGCTGCCTCGCTGGGCTACCCTGAACCCCCCGCCGAGATATTTACATGTGCTGCATGAATTTAGGGCTGGGTTTCGCAATCGCAGCCTGGCTGGCTGAAAGTGATGGAACACTGGTTGTTCCTGCACAGGATGCATGTTTGCTCTCTGTTTGTGTGCTTGTTATTTGGTGGAACAGAAGACCGAGGAATGAGACTGATGCAATGTCCCAACTTAATAATCGCAGTGATCGTCGTCATAGTGGGCAGACTGACGCAACATGCCGCAGATCTCTGGTGTGTTTTCGATTGGGTTGTTCTGTTACGGTTGGTAGTTCATTTCAGCGCAGCTTCTGCCACACCATTTTGCACCCTCCATGTCACGGTTTCATGCTGCTTGCAGCTCCCGAACCTGAGCTTCGGTGTGTGCGGTCTCGGCCTAGCCCCGAATTTGGCCCCGACACCAACCTTTCAAAAAAAAACAGTCTGCAAGCAGCACACATGTTTCGCTTGGACAGCGGTAAACAAATTGAAACTACCAGTAACAGCATGAAATCAATCGAACCCGACTCTCAGCCCCCCCAGCCTAAATCCCAAAGGCTCTACGCACGAAGCCCCTGCACACTGCTGCTAAAGGCATGAACCAGGCACACATATGTGGTGACTAAGGCCACGCTCGACTCTAAACATTGAATCTGAACTCTTGGATAAGCTAAAGCCAAAACCCGAAAAGTTCAACTCTCCACTCCAAAAGCCCCACAGACCTAGGGTTTATAAATACGGTAACTATAGTTACAATTACTTGTAACTGAACTCCGGCTAAGGTATATGTAATCTTATTTACTGAGTCTCATGAACCCTGTGCAGCTCGCATGGCTAAAACCCAAACCCAGCGCTTCCAAACTGTTTAGGTATGACAGTTGTCCAAATGCCGGCGTGACGCATGCTGCAGGCCGAAATAGTCCATTTAAGGCGCATACAACAAGTCTTCCTACAAGATAGTTGTTTATAGCGTTCCTTAATAGGGGTTCGGGTTTAGGAGCATCGCCCAAAGCCTGTATAAACCGCAAAACCACCGTGACAAGCTAAACCTTGAACCTCGATGCCCTTTCAGCATGCTTGGGCTTGTAAGTCTGACTAACCAGTGATGTTGGGGTTCTCTTGGCTCTTTAGCTCCTTATCTAATAGGGATTATCATCATCCCTGGCTCCTTAGCTCCCCCAATATCAATGGTTAGCTGAATAGAAACTCACAGCCTCGTGGCAACAAGAGGCCATGTCTTGCTTCTTGTCGGGCTGTTGGGATTTAAGCTACCTGTATCCCCAAACCCTACAAAATAGTAGGTTATGACCCCTTAATTTCAGGGTCTAACCCTTAAAACGGTAGGTTCTTGGATCCACAGCCAGAGCATGCCGCGAATTCCTCACCCTCCTGAAGACAAACAAGAGCGGACTTGAAATTCCGAACGACCTGTGCGGCCAGAGGCCTCTGTGCATACATACGGCCACTAAATATGCATCCTGACCTGGGGCTATCCTGCAAAACATAGCCGTTCTGGTGATCCCATGGCGGGTAGGAACCAAGGTCTCAAAAGCTCGCCCATAGACATTTGCAAGGCCAACCCAAAAACGGGCTGGCGATAATGTCAACTAGTACGCAGGCCTGGTTAATACTCAACTGCCTATAGACCCTAGTACAAAGGTCTGAAGAATCAGTGTTGAAATTCGTAGTCGCAATTTAACTCTACAGCATGGTTATGGCAACATTACACAGCCGAAGCCTTAGTCCAAGTATTAAGGCCCCTATACTAACATGTTGCTATCAGCCCTTCAATGCTCTTCCGGCACTGCCTACCCTGAAGCCTGAAACAAAAACCATAAACTCTACCTAAACCCTGAACCCTCAGGCTCATGAGCTTCGGTTTCGGGTTTCGCTAGCCACCGTTGAAGGTGAACGAATCCAGGGTTTATGGTTCGGGGTTTAGGGCAGGGTTCAGGGCTCGGGTGTAGCTGCTATGAGCAGGGCTGAAATGCCGGACTAGCTAAAGATATCAAAAAACTAAATCGCATAAACCCTAAACCATCACCCCTAGAACCCATATAACTGGAGTGGACATCCTTAAAGATCAGATCGGGCCGAGGGACTGGAAACCCACGTGTTCACCTTGAGGCCTAAATTATCAAAACCTCTCTTTTCCGGTTTAGGGTCCGAGTGGACACCCTCATGCAAATTAGAGACCTGCCACAAAAGGTAGGTTTTGGGTTCGTGGGCAAGGAAGTCTCTGAATCATATCCCGAACTCAACAAGGAAGAAAGCCCAAAGCCCGGAACCCGCAACCCAAAATGCGATGCTCCGAGCACTGACTGCACAGCAGGCAAGCCCTCAAAACGCTTACGGTCGTTCATGACTACCTAAACCCTAAACCCTTAACCTCTAAACCCTAAAGGCCCTAAACCTCAATGCTGCTGTATGTGAACATTGGCAGCAAGCCATTATTGCACAAACGCTACAAGCAAAACACACTAAACCCTCAACCCTAAACCCTTACACCGTAAACCCTACCGTAACCTATCAGAACCTGCTGTATTGTAGGGTACCTGTAAAAATATTTTAGGGTTTAGTTTATCAAATAGATCCTAAAAAGGTGGAAGATTATGGCAGGTTAAGGTATAGCCTGCATTATTCAACGCAGCTCGGACCTCGTCCACACTCTTCCCCAACTCCTTCTCGATAATGGCGCGCGCCTCTTCCGTAGAGAAGGTGGCCTTTGAAGCTGACTTGGTTTAGGGTTTCAGGGTTTAGAGGTTAGTAGGGTTTAGGAATTTAAAACTTAGGGTTTATAGGGCTTAGGGTTTAGGGGTTGGGGTTTTTCTTGGTTTAGGGTTTAGGTGATCCTTGAGTCTGCCAGCCTCTTGAAATTACGTGCATCTACCAGACCTTGATGGTCCAAGCCTTGCGAAGTGCTAGAAGACTGTAGCCTGTGTCAAGCACGGCAGGTCCTAGTAGACAAAGCATTGCCAAGATCGGCAGAAGCCAGCATAGTTTGTGCGCTTCGTGTAAAACAGTTCGCTTTATCAATTCGCTTGCTTTCGCCATGTCGCATTCACATGCTGTTTCTGGTGCGTCAGAGAGTGCGTTGCTTCAGCAGGGTATGAGCCCAACGCTACCCGATGAGGATGGGGCTCCGAACTACGGGGCACTGTTCTCGGAACCACTGCGTGTGGATGATGAAGCGTCACTTTCGGCACCTACAGTGGCTTTGCTTAATGGGGTTCCTGACGTACCAGTAAGTGAAGTTCGTGGTCAGGACCCCGTTGCCCCCAGCAGCATTGTGAATGATGGTGTGGAAGCACAGAGTGCGATGCGTCAGATTCCTGTTGATGGAACAGCATTGCACACGGAGCCGGCCGCCCCGGTGGCTCCTATAGCTGCACATACCGGAGTTTCTCTTCCGCTGTTCCCCGCCTTCCAGCCTTCGCCTTTGCCAGGGCAATCACCAGTGGCTGCGCGAGAAGGAGGACTTCGACCGGGTTCGTGGTTTACCAGGTTGGGGGACTATATTCAGAAGAGAGTGGAGGTTACTTCGTGGTCTTCCCCTCCGGCGTCTACGACTAACCAAGCAAGTGTGTGGCATAATCGAAGTCAAGTTCAGACTATGATGGTTGCGTCTCCAGTTGTGGGAGAAAGGAGGCCGGAATCGAACTCAAGCGGTTCCGCGGGAATTCCTCAAGAGATGGTTCAGGCTGAAGTAGCCCGGCAACTGGACAGCGCGATGAGTGAAGTGATGAGTCGACTGCAGGATGAGAGACTGAAGACGGAGCAGGCGACCTTGGAAGCTAGGCAGCTACGTGAGCAGCTTGAGAGATATGAGATGAGGGCCCAATCAGGGCCAGCTGCCCCTCTTGGTCCTCCACCGGGGTTTCTTCCGATGAGTTTGAGAGATCATGGAGCTTCTACCGGAGTCCCTGCGAATCATCCTCTACCTGGTCCTGTTTCAGGGTCGACCGCGTTTACGGCTCATGGTCGTCAGTGCTTTGGCGATGTGGAATATAAAGGCGAAGACGCTACAGTTGCAGGAGTTCCTAACCTACCTCGAGGTGATCGGGCCTCTGCAAGTACTGGTGATGTTGTTGCCGAAGGTTCTAGCCTACTTCGAGGTGATCGGGCTTTTGCAAGTATTGGTGATGTTGTTGCTGAAGGCTCTAGCGTACCACGGGGTGATCGGGCCATTGCGAATCTTGGGGATCGTGGTTCAGGAGTTTCTAATCTACCTCATGGTGATCGGGCGGCTGCAACAGCTAGGGGTGTAGAACCCAATGTCTATGATCCTGGAGCTTCTACCGGAGTTCCGGCGAATCATCCTCTACCTGGTCCTTCTGAAGAACATGGAGCTAGGTCTCGTACCAGATCTCAGTCGCCGGGTGGTCCACGTGCCTTTTTCCAGGGCTTGTTCGGTCTGGGTACAACTGGTCGTGATGAAGGGCAGCAGTTTGATCAAGGAGTTCAGATGGGATCGAGAACGATACCTACTACCTTCATACCACCTCCACTTCAACCTCCCCTACCTCCACCTCCACTACCACCTACCACTACAGCTGCAGCGGCACCGGCTCGGGATGACAGTGTCTTGGCGAGCTTAGCCCGGGGCATAGAAGCGCTACTGCAGCAACAGCAACAAGGGCCTCGGCAAGATCGTCCAGAAACGGTTAAGCCGGGCATCTCTGAACTTCCTCCACTTCCAGTCTTCCAGAGTACCAGCCGTCGACGGGGTCGATAGACTTGCTTCACTGGTTGACGCATATAGCGCCGATGATGGAGGATTTGCCGGATACCAGTTTACTTTGGTGGCAGCAGACCGTCAAGGACGCCCTTACCTGGTATGCTCAGTACTCAGCCGCGCCACCGCTTGCACGATTACAACTTCGACCGCGACCCAGCCATGATCTTCGTCCGGAGTGAGCTCGAGTTGAAAGACGGGCCACAGCAATGATGCTCAGCGCCGTTCCAAAGGCGATCCGCGAGGAGATAATCGCTCATGGGCAGATGTCGAGCTTGGATGTGCTGTGCAAGCTGTACTCGGTGTATCAACCGGGTAATCTGCAGGAGAAGTCGTTGGTTCTACGGATGCTGGAGCAGCCTGAGGAGTGCACTACAGCCCTCCAAGCGGTGGAGGGGCTACGTCGATGGAGCCTGTGGAGACGGAGGGCGGCTTCCTTGGGGATGGCAGAACCGGATGCGTCGGTGCTGGTCAGAGGACTGGACAAGATCACGGCTCCCATCATCCAGGGGAGCGGTGAGCTCTCGTTTCGGGTGAGCTTGATACGGAGCACGTTGCAGGTGGATGTGAGTCCTTCTTCGTCTACGGTGACTACATTTCACCAGCACCTCCAGGCTGAGATGGAGCAACAGGCCAGACTGGGAGTCGCAAAAGGGACCACGGATATTTCCCCTGCGCTGCGTGCTGTTACCACCAGTACCACAACCACCACAACTCCACAACCACTACAACTCCATCTACTTCCCCTACTACCAAGCAGCAGGGTTCTTTGTGCCGGTTCTTTGCGTCAGACAAGGGTTGTCGAAGGGGCAATGGATGTCGCTTCCCACATACGTGGGCTCTCTTGGAGAAGGGAAGTCGGCAGCGCAAGTGCTTGTGCTGTGGATCCACGCAGCATAAAGTCAAGGAGTGTCGAGCTCCAGGCGGCGGTCAGGCAAGGACTACAACCTCGCGTACGGAGGCGGCGGGCCCGGGGGAGACGGGGTCTACATCGCCTACGGCATCAGCGACGGACTCGCCGACGAGGAAGGTGAAGTTTGATGGCGAGCAGGTGCAGGCCAAGGTGTTTCAAGTTCTACAAGATGAAGAACATTCCGCTGTTCAGGTCAGTGGTGGACACTGTGAGTCGCTGGGCCTGTCACCCTGTACCTCCTTCGCCTAGGGCGCGGTCTGCACTGCTGGACTCAGGAGCGACTCATGTTCTACGTGCTCCTTCGGACAATCATGAATGGCTTCAGGCTAAGGACGTGAAGGTGAAGCTGGCAGGAGATGGTTATGCGGCCATGCGGCAAACCTCTGCGGGCACTATTCTCAATGAGGACCAGATGGCACAGGTGATCGCGCCCCTCGGCAAAGTGATCTCCACCCTTGGATACAAACTACATTGGACCTCTGAGGAGTGCTACCTATACGCCGAGGACGGGGAGATTATCAAGCTTGAAGTGGTTCGAGGATGTCCTGAAGTGAGCGAGGAGGTTGCCAAGAAGCTGATAACGCGGTTGGAACAGACCCAGCTTCCAGAACTCAAGGACGCCACTGAGGCGTCGGTCAAGGCGTTGAGCTTTGTGAAGTCCAGCTGGTGGGTTTGTCTCATGGAGTATGTTATGACGGGCAGCAGTGAGGCTGCGAAAATGGCAATCAAGAAGGCCCCGTTTTTGCTGTACAAGGATGTGTTGGTGGAGGGCCTTGCTCTTCAAAGGCCAAGGAAGGGCATCTGGGAGATGCTCAAGGCCATCAATGTGAACCGGCGAACTCGAAAGCGCCTGATGAATTCTTCATTGTGGGTGGTTCGTTGGGACCCTCCGGCAGTGGATCGTCCCCGGGATGCCTTGAAGCATCTGGGCATGGCCAAGGAGACCATGTATATCAACTTGAACACCTTGCTGATGGAGAATGAGTTTGAGGATGTTTGGAAGGTTGTGCTTTGGGGAGCAATGGAAGGAAAAATCAGCACCGTGGTCGCTAAGGACAGTTTGGGAACTCCGATGAACCATGTGGTAGCCGCCCCTCACCGCAGTAAGGTGCATTATCTGCATGCACTGGCAACGGCAGGTCGAACTGCTCATGGTCAGGGCGCTGTTAGACTGCTGGTGGAGGACCTTGATCGAGTTCAGCGAGATCAGCGCGATGGTGTGGAAAGCATGTGGCCAGCGTGGTCGATGTGCAAGGATGCCAAGGAGTACATGGTTGAGATGGGGATTGTTGATATCTCCATATCGGAGTTCACGGGCGAGAACTACGTGAGGGTCGCTCGTCTTGATGCATGGTGATGCAGCTTGGCGACTGCATGTTATGCGGGGGCATCAGCCTTTTCGTCGGGACTGTTCGGTTTGCGTTCGCAACAGCGCCACAGGCAAGCAGCACCGAACGACTATGCACCCAATGGCCTACACGTTAAGTGTGGACGTGGTGGGGCCGCTGAAGGAGTATGGCAAGTCACCAGACGGGAAGTTCTTCAAGTACTTTGTCATTGGCGCTCTACGGATACCTAAGGTTGAAGGCGGTGATGGACACCCAGAAGTTCACGGGCATCCTATTCCTCCAGATGGTATTGATGAAGGAGAGGACGAGAAGATCCTGTCAGAGGAGGAGCGCGACGAGGAGGAGGCCGTTCCCGAGAGTGACTACTGTGACCCTGCGGAGATTGAGAAGGAGAATGAGCGGTGGAAGGAGTTGAAGGCTACGTTTAAGGAGCCCATTGCCACCACCACCTTGTACTTTGCGGTTCCGGTCAACAACAAGAAGGCTGCCACGATGCTGCCCGCCGTTCAAAAGATTGTCTTGGATGTGAAGGCTCTTGGCTACCCGATCACAAGGTTGCATAGTGACCGAGGCGGTGAGTTCAGAGGCCACTTGGTGCGGCGCTGGGCCCTTGCCCAAGGTATGTGGCCTACTACGACATCGGGGTCGGAGTCGGCGTCTAATGGAGTTGCTGAAGCAGGAGTGCGCTACTTGAAGCGCCGAGCTAGAGTACTACTGGATAGTTCGGGAGTGGGTCGACAACATTGGCCTACGGCGGTTCAACATGCAGCAGCTCAACAACGTTGTGATCAACTTGGAGTTCTACCTGCACTTCCTGTGGCCTATGGTACCAAGGTGTATGTGAAGACCAAGAAGTACAAGACTGGTGCGGTTGAAGATTTTGGACCACACTGGACTGGGGGACGGTATGTGGGACCGTCCACAGATATCCGAGGAGGTCACGTTATTTTGAAGGACATGGGGACCTTTGTGCAGACGACCCATGTGAGGATTACCAGGGAGCCACCCCCTTTGGACACCATCGCTCCGACTGTGGTTGTGGAGCCTGAAACCAGTGAGAGTCTGGCCCCTGGAATGGAAGAACCTCCTTTACCACCACCGGATGTCCCTCCTCCTGAAAGGAGGCTTCGAGCAAAGACTCCCCGAGCCGCGAAGCTCGACGAGCTTTATGAGCCTTGCGTTGAGCTGTTTGAGGCCACCCAGGGCATGAAAGGTTCGTTGGAGGAGGAGTGCGAGTTGAAGTATCTTCGGTTGGAGGAGATTGAGTACCTGGAAGGTGTTGCGCGTGGCTTGTATGAGGACAGAAAGTTCTCTAAGAGTGATGCTCACAAGTTGCTGAGTTTGTTTGCGGGGACTTGCGGCAACCTGAAGGTTCCACGTGCTCCTGAAGGGCAAGGCTTGGTGCTGGGTGCCTTTGTTCACGGCGGGTCATTTGGAGTGACTCGGTATGGACGAGATCTACCATGGGTCATGAAGTACTTCAACATGTTCCTCTATGAGAGGATAAAAGCTCGTTGGCCACATGTACGTCCTACTTGGACCACTTTAGCCCTTCAATGTGCAGAGACTGTTCCCCGTCATCGAGATGTTCACAATGAGCGAGCTACGTTCAACTACGTTGTGGAGCTGAAGTCTGAGGATGAGGGAGGGCTGTGGGTTGAGGATAAGGGCCTCGAGCGCGGTGTTGTTGGAGGTGAGCGACCGGAAGATTTTCAGTACCAGGCTGAAGATGGTGCGGTGTACGATGGCTGTGTGGTGGATATATCAGAGCAGCCAGCGGCCTTCAACCCCATGACCCCGCATGCCTACGTGATGATTGATCACCGACGGTGGTTTCTGAGTGCTTACACTCCACAATGGTTCTCACGGTTGAGTCTTGGTGATCAACAATATCTACAACAAGCTGGGTTTCCTCTTTGTCAAAAAGATGAAGATTGCCACGGAGAGCAGGAAAAAGGTCCTGCACTAAGGGCTGCTGACTTACCTTCCGGGACTACGTCGAGTGGATCTCATGTTGACCGGGGAGATGTGGAAGTGGCTACCGTGGGTGATTGTGAAGGAAGCTTCAGTGAGTGGGCCATCTATGTCGAGGACTATGTCGAGGAGGAGCTTGAGCCCCGAGGGTGTGATCAAGTACGGTGTTTGAGGAGGATTGGTTCTTCCGGTGATCCTGGTGATGAACTTTGGTCCTTGATTGAGGCATCAGAGTTGTTGTCTGAGGAGGAGGTGGGCCCAGAGGTTGTTGAGAACTTTGGTGACAGGTTGGAGCATTGGAGCTCTATCGGAACTTTGGACGTTCCACGACTTGCAAAGGTCGAACCTGAGTACACCCCAGGCATTGAGGAGATCATCAAGAATGCGGTCGAGCATCAAAGCCCGTTGCGCCACACCTACAATGTGAGCCCCCATGAGGCCAAGGAGGTGATCGAAAAATGGCGGTCAGCGATAGCTAAGGAGGTGGGTGTCGTTGAGAAGGGATTCAAGAGGATCCGCGCTGAGGAGGTCACCGAGTTAAAGAAGGAGTTCACTGTGCAGGAGCTCCCTTCCAAGTTGGTGTATACAGTGAAACCTCCGAGCACAACACCTACTACAACGACAGATCTTGGAGATGAAAGTGTGTACTGTCGTCGAAAGGCCAGGGTGGTGTGCTGTGGCAACTTTGCTGACGAGGAGGGCTCCGACCTCTTCGCTGGAGGCATCGCCGCCGAGAGCATGAGATGCATGTTAGTGTATACAGCAGACCAGGGCTGGATGGTTGGAATAGTCGACGTTACGGGTGCCTTTATGCTCACTCCGCTCCCGCAATCAAGAGGGCAAGTTCGATATGTTATAAGACCACCAGCTGCCTTAGTCGCCTGCTGACTGCGGAGCACGACCTACGGTTCCTGTGAAATATCAACGGCATCAGACGAGAACGTCTTCTACCTCCACCAGCGGCCCTACATCGACGAGATACTACGTCACCACGGGATAGCGGGGACTACATTGTCACAAGTGCAAGCACCACGCGACATGGTGACCTTTGAGGCGTTTGAGGGAGAAACCCCGGGCACCCCCGAGGAGATCAAAGCCGCGCAGCGGCTATGCGGCGAGCTACTATGGTTGGCCCAGCGGTCAAGGCCAGACATATGCTACGTTGTCAGTGCTATGGGTTCCTTGCTTTCCCGTGCGGCTGTTCGATGTGTTGCTATTGGCATGCGACTCTTAGCCTACTTGCAGCAGACCAAGAATATGGCCTTGACGATGAGGGCAACATCAGGCGAGCTTATCGCCTACTCTGACAGCTCCTTCGCCCCGCAGGGCAGCCGGAGCTTTACAGGAGTGGTGTTGAGCTGGAAGGGTTCACCAGTTTCATGGAGGGCGGCCAAGCAGCCGTTCACATGCCTGAGCACGGCGGAATGCGAGTTGGTGGCGTCAATTGAAGCTCTGACTATGGCAAAGTTTTTGGAGGCGATTGTCAATCAGATAGAGCCACAACCCCGGATGATAATTTTGGGGATCGATAACCAGGCTACCATCGCGATTGCCCAGCCCTCAACTACGGCTTCTTGGAGGACGAGGCACTTGCGGGTTAGGGCGGCTTACATCCACGAGCAGGTGGAGTCGAGTCAGGTTCAGATCCGTTATGTTCCTGGGAAGCAGCAGTGGGCGGACCTCCTCACGAAAAGTTTCCCACGGCAACGCTTGGTCGAATTGACTGCGCTATGGGGTTTTGTGGATCGCGTTCATGAAGCTTCGAAAAAGGCAGTGGTGAAGGCTATGTTGATGTGTATGGTGGTCCAGACTACACGTGCTCAGGAGCAACCGGAGCCCCTCGCGATCAACACCTCCCTCGAGCTCTACGTGATGATCTTGGTGATGGGCATAGCCGTTGTTGGGCTTGGGGAGTTCATTTGGCTGTGTGTTGATAGGTGCTGTACGAGGCCCGAAGAAACCAGGACTGCGCGGAGAATGAGACGACTACGAGAGGCTGTTCAGCGGGAGCTCGAAACCCAGATACACGAAGCAGCCGCTTCGCCTACTGGGAATGACCATGGAACCCCGGCTACCCCACCAAGGCCAAGGCGGGCATCTACTTCTATGTCATCATCGTCAGCCCCTCCTTCGGTGTTGAGTTCTCCTATGCCTAGGAGACCGTGTGTGGCTAATGCTGCTACACAGACGGAGATTAATCAGGACTATGTGCCGATTAGTACCTTGATCGTGATGTACCGGTACCAGTTCCTGTTCGAGAGTGGCATCCAGGACCACTCTATGTCACCCCCCACGGCGACACGTTTCATACCCATGAGCGATGCTGGGGATTGAGAAATGCGATTTCGCGACCTCTGCGATTCTGTCAGTGTTGCCCTGATAATGGTGGGCATTCCCTACGCGAACGTCACGGATGAGCTAGGCAGACTGTGGAATGGAGTGTGTGATCTCCCTTCACCAGGGAGCTCAAGGAGGAGTGATGAAAGCCTTGAGTCTGCCAGCCTCTTGAAATTACGTGCATCTACCAGACCTTGATGGTCCAAGCTTTGCGAAGTGCTAGAAGACTGTAGCCTGTGTCAAGCACGGCAGGTCCTAGTAGACAAAGCATTGCCAAGATCGGCAGAAGCCAGCATAGTTTGTGCGCTTCGTGTAAAACAGTTCGCTTTATCAATTCGCTTGCTTTCGCCATGTCGCATTCACATGCTGTTTCTGGTGCGTCAGAGAGTGCCTTGCTTCAGCATTAGGGTTTAGGGTTCTGCCAGGCTTAGTTTTTTCGGGTTCAGAGGCTCGGGTTCAGGTTCAGGGGTGCAACTTTGATCCTAATGCTCTTCTTGCTACAGTAGTCTGAAGTCTAGAAGATTCGAAGCAGTGACATTGTTGCTTCGGGGGGAGGTGCGGCAGGGAGCGGGGTGGCGAGCTCGGGGACGGGCTCGGAGATACTCGGAGCTTTGTGGTTTAGGGTTTAGGGAGCTGTAGGGTTTCGCCTACTTTGGGAATTGGCTGCTCTCGGAGAGCATGCAACCTCCACACAAGAAGATTACTGCAACGGTATTACGCGGGTTCATTGGGCTCAGATCGGGCGAACTGATGGCATACCTTCAGGGTAACTAGGTCGGATTTGACCGTCGTAGTTCCCCTTTAAACGGAAAAGCAGAACAACCAAGCTGCACCAGTCCTTGCTTGATGCCAAGCCGCAATGTCGTCTTGAAGGGAACTCAACCTCAGACTTTGAAGCACCCACGAGGTGGGTATAAGCAGGTTTGGGAATGGTGTAGTAGTTCTTTAGGGACTGATAACCCCAACTCCGAACCCATGCCCTGAACGCAGGCCACCACCTCGCTTAGCAGCATGAAGCGACCTCCCAACTATCGAGGAGCGCAAATATGAAGTGCTGCAAGGACCATCTGCCCCTAAACCCGAATCCCCTAAAACCCAGCCCCCCAACAAGCCTGAACCCTAAACCCCTAAACCTAATCAATACCAGAGGCAAACGGCTAGGGATCAGGATTACGACTTCAAGCACTGCGGGTAAAAGCTGACTGAACAACATCATAGCGCTAACTTTTGGTAGCACCCTTCCCTGGGAAGCCTCGGCCCGCAAGGAACTAAAGCAACCTATAGGCCTCATATATATACGATGCATGTTCTGCTCCACCTGCGGCACTACGGCAGGTTGCCAGTACCATCCCAAGGCTTGTCACCACGGGCCTTCAAGCCAAATCGCTCATCCTAAAGCTCCATGTAACCGTCAAGATTAGGGTCCCTGTTTTGGGTCCTTGATATTTTTCAGCACGTAATATTTAGGGTACCCCAAAAGGGACCACAATTTTGACAACCACCCATATCGTATATACTTAGGCCTTAAAGTACCGAAAAAGGGGCCCCCTTTAGGGCTTAAGTAAGTATCTACGAGAATGGTACATGGAGCCTTTGGGTCTTTGTGTTCGGGTCTGGGTCAGGAGCTGTTGGTTTGACAACGATGATAAGGTCGGGCCGACAGCACAGCACACTACCCTAAACCCTACCTCTCCCGGAATAGCCTACCTTTTTCAGGACTTATATCAGGAAATCATAATAAGGAGCCCAAAAAAGGTAGGTTATTCAGGGTTAAGGTATACCCTACACCTTAAACCCCTAAACCCTAAACCCCCAAACCTCTAAACCCTATACCCCTAAACCCTAAACCCCTAAACCCCAAACCCCTAAACCCTAAACGCCTAAACCCTAAACCCCCAAACCCTATACCCCAACTCCAAGCGTGCGTCCGGGCCGCTCTTCCATCACCACAGGCGACAGCACATCAGGGCGGATACTCAACACTTGGCCCAGCTTGATGAAGGTGGGGCCTCGGGTGGTGGAGGTTTTACAGGGTTCAGGGTTGAGGGTTTAGGGCCTATGTGTCGGGTATCATGGGGAACTAGAGGTTAACCTTTTGGCTATCTAGGGATTATATATAGGGACTATACTACCCCCCAAAAAAGTTAAAGGTCACCTACTCTATTACTAGGAGGGTGTAGGGCTTAGGGTTTGGGGCCTCGAAATCTGGCCGCGTTGAAAGTGGCTGGCTTTCATTTTTTATCATATAGGAGTTTTGTTTTTTTTTACCACCCCTTTTCCCCGACAACGTTTAGGAGTTTAGGCTTTAGGGTTCACCTTAACCTCCAAGTCACCTTGTTGAAGGATTTCCATGGCGAAATCATGATGAGGAACAAGTGTCAGGTGCGGTTTGTAGGGCACCCTGGCCACCCCGGATTGTGTCTGCTGCGGCATGGCATAGCTGTTTCGTATGAGGCCCTTGAGGATTTAAACAGATTCAGTTTGAGGTCTATACCGGGATATCCCGGTACAAGGTCAAACGATGTTCAATCAAGTTGGAGAGTTTTGGCATATTGGGCTTGTGAGGCGGGGTCTAGGATTTCTGCGCGGCAGCAGTTCGAGGGTGTCAGAGATTTCCAAAGATGGGGCCGCTGATTTCACTAAGCCTGTACTGTAGTTGGACAATCGATGTCCCTCGAACTGCAGATCTCAGGCTCATTTCCTTGAACTCAAGCGGGTTTCTGAGCTGAATAAGGGTTCATGACTGTTCACTCTAAACCTTGGAACCCGAAACCAACCATGGCTTCCCGAGTCGTCCCGTGCAAGGGCCATGGCCCGCCTGATCAGCTCCGGACAACCTGAAACCCCGAATTTCCCACAGAAAGTCGAAGCTTGGCCACAAGGAACTGAATTAAGTCTTCAATGCCGCACTAACTGAAACAAGCTACCGTGACCCACTTTCTCGTACGAGTCGTGATAAAACCGACATTGCAGTTTCTGTTAGGGCCCTGGAACAGCAAAATAGGTCATGGGAGTTTGGTGTAAGCCATACTCAACCACCTGATGATTAAACCCTTAGCCCCTAAACCCTCAACCGTTGAATCCTAACCCCTAAACCCTCAACCGTTAAATCCTAACCCCTAAACCCTCAACCGTTAAACCCTAAACCCTAAACCAAGGGCTCTGGCTTTGAGGTCTCTGGGCTATTCTGGGTTGGCCTTTAAACACCCTGAAAAAAATTATATATAGGGCCCCTTATAAACCCAAATACGAAAAATAAAAATGTCCCAAAATCCAACCTAGTATTGGAGTCCCCAAGGCCCAGCGTTTGCATCGACTTCACCGCATCCTTGGCCAAAGAGCGCTCCTGGGGCTTAGGATTTAGGGCTTTAGGGTTTAGGGCTTAGGGTTTTGAGGGTTTTAAGGCTTAGGGTTTTGGTTTTACGATGTAGGGCTTAGAGTTTTATGGTTCTGGGTTTTGGGTTTTGTTGTTTAGGGTTTTGGGCTTTATGGTTTAGGGCTTTAGGGTTTTGGGTTCTATGGTTCAGGGCTTTAGGGTTTTGGGTTCTATGGTTTAGGGCTTTAGGGTTCTATGTTTTAGGGCTTTAGGGCTTTAGGGTTCTATGCTTTAGGGTTTTGTGGGTTAGGGTTTTGGGTCTTATTGTTTTTTTGGGTTTTATGGTTTGGGGCTTTAGGGTTTTGTAGTTTAGGGTTAAGGGCTTTGTGGGTTAGGGTTTTGGGTCTTATGGTTTAGGGTTTTGGGTTTTATGGTTTAGGGCTTTAGGGTTTTGTGGTTTAGGGTTTTGTGGTGTAGGCGTAGGGCTTTGTGGGTTAGGGTTTTGGGTCTTGTGGTTTAGGGATTTGGGTTTTATGGATTGCAGGCCTTTGGGTCTCATGGTTTAGAGCTTTAGGGCTTTATGGTTTAGGATTTAGGGCTTTGCGGTTTAGGGATGGTTTGCAGGGTTTTATGGTCTAGTTGGGTTAACGTTCAGGGCTCACGGTCGCAGAGCAATTTGGGCTTAGTATTTAGGGCTGCGAACCGCTGGGCTCTAGGAGGTCAGGGTCCCGGCCCATCGGGTTTCTATTGCGATGATGGTACTGAGAGAATGCTGACCAAACTACCGTGTACTCCCAAACCCCTACTCTGATTCGTAAGGCCCGGTACTACACCCCCTAGTACCCCTATGAAGCCCTGGAGGTCCCTACAAGACAGCGCTATAAAGCCTTGCAAGCCGTTCATAACCCGTGCAACCCCGATGATCAGAAACTCTGGAACGAGTGTCCATGTACCCAAGTAGCACATACTCTGGCCCCAAAGCACCTAGATATAGGGACTACTTCAAGGCCCGGAGTATGTACGTATGTATACGTGCATGTGTGTGTGTATATGTATGTATGTATATATATATATATATTTCTATTGAAATATAAACACATAAATAAATAAATATGTATATATATATATATATATATGACTGAACTTGGTGGGCATGGACCCTTTAGGGAAACATGAAATCCACAACGCGCCGCTGCCTCCTCGGACCAGCGGCCTGTCATCGCAGCAGAGAAGGCGCTGGCGATCCAAGGTGTGGCGACCCTTCGGAGACCAGTAGGGTGTAGGGTTTAGGGTTCTTTTTGTTGAGCACCTTTTTCCGTCCGCCTAAGCAGTTTTAGGAATCAGGAATTCGCTTTCGCAAAGGGTTTAGGGTTTATAGTCTAGGGTTTGAGTTTTACGTTTATGGCTTGGGCTTGGGGGTGGCGGCCACTCACAGAAAGTTTGTGGCTTCATTGAGCTAGGGTGAAAGGCTCGGGGGTTATACTGCCTAGGTGGTAATTAGATATCATGGGCCCCCAAAGTCTCTCCGTATTGGTACTACGCCTTCTGGGCCAGAAGGGCTTTGATTTACTTTACGGAGGTATAGTACGGCTTAGGCATTGCGTGTAATGGCTTAAACTCTAGAACTGTCAGGGCACAAACCCCCTTCTAGGATGAGGACACGAAGGATCCGGTCTTGGGAGGAAGTCTACGATCCCTTCCTTTACCTTAACCTACCAAAACCTACCTTTTCTAGCGCCCCTGGTAGGAGGAACTTGAAGTCCTTGTAAGGACCCGACGTGGCGCTTGTCTCGCCAGCCTGCCCGAGACCTCGCGGATCTCATACGACTGAGGCGTCGGGGGCTCATCCTGAGTCTTTCAGAAGCGAGTGGTAGCAGGTGGAGTGAAACAGTGGCCGTCCACTGGGCGAGGCTTCCATGCATCCTTGAATCAGCTGCTCCATTACCGGCGGCAGGAACGCGCCTTGCAGAGTCCTCCGTTGATCTCCCTGTTTCTGTGGTGGAGCATCTACGACCAGGAACATGTGATACATGGCCAGCACCTGCTGCTGCACCTGGTTGTCGAAGTCCGTCAGATGCATGCCAATGGGCTGCTCATCCATCGCCACGTCCAGGTGAGTTTGCAGGACTTGCAAAAAAGCTCAGGACTAAACCCCGAACCACCCTAGAGTTTTCTCCTAAACCCTTTTTGAACAAGGTCTCTAACCACAAACCCCTAAACCCTAAACCCTAAACCCTAACCCCTAAACCCATGAAAGCTCCAAACCCCTGAGCACCGCACAAGCCCCATTTAGGGCTTCTAATGAGAACCTACAAAAAGTAGGTTTAAGGTCGTGTCAGATAAACTCGACACTTTCCCTTCGGACGTCGGTGTCATTTTCGGGACGTTGGGGCTGCAAAAAAACCCTGATTCCCGGACGAATCTGCAACGACCCCTAAACCCCAAAACCCTATACCCTAAACCCCTAAACCCCTAAATCCTAAACCCCTAAACCCCAAAACCTCAAAACCGTAAACCCCTAAACCCTAAACCCTAAACACCACAACCCTGATCACGAACCCTAGGATCGAAGATCTCGACAATCCTTGTCGTGTCCTGATGGTATATCCTATGGAGAAGCACCCTAAACCCTAAACCCTGAAACCTAAACCCTTTAGGGTTTAGGGTTTGTGTGGTAGAAAGCATGTGTTCCTGAACGATTCCGTGCTAATCAAGGTCATTCCAACAAAACCCTAAATTCTGAATCCCATACACCTGCTATGAACAGGCTGCTTGGAACCAGTTTCCGCCTACTAGAAACGACCGAATATGAACCCTACTTCATCTGATGATTGCCCTGAACCCCAGACCCAAAGCCCATGAGTATTCAAGCTATGAACATATTTCGCAAAGCCCGCGGCGCACCCCAAGAAGTCGGACCATCGCCCAGTGACCGCCCCTGCATTCTTACCTTCGCACAAGCCCAGCGTGGAAGGCCAGAGTTCAAGAGGCTTGGGGCTAATACAGTTGCCTTAAGGTCAAAGCTAGAAAGTTGGAATATGATTATCCTAACCCTTCTATGGTAAATTATAGGGTATCCTACCATGAAACCATATTCCAACTTTCTGGAGTTGCCTTAACACTTAGAATAGGGTTGCCCATTCTACTATAAGTATAATAAGGAACCTCCAAAAGGGGCCTTACTTAGAATAGGGTTGCCCATTATACTATAAGTATAATAAGGAACCTCCAAAAAGGGCCCTGCAGTAGAGAGGTCTAGCTTTTCCAACAGTAAACTCTGCGCCGAAGTTCTGTTCGAAGTTCAACCCTAAACCCTAAACCCTCTAATGACCCTAGGCTTTTCGAAACTTTCCGGTTCTCGAAACCAGAGGTTCAATGACACAAGAATGGTCATAATGCATTACTCGGAAACGTCACCCAGGGTTGATATTAAAAATATTATTAATAGTATTAACAATACTGACCTGATAACCTTAATGTTTTTATGAATCTTAATAATTTGAAAAATGTTGACAATTGTAACAGTACTATTATGACTAATATTGGATGTGGAGGACCCAGATCTTGCACCCGAGTAAGCTGGAAAAGCCACCGCCAGCCTCAACCCGATCCCCGATCTTGCATGCGCGGGCAGGGAACCCCAGTAGCTGTTGATGAGAGCACTGTTGTAGACAAGGGGAAGGCCATCTTCGTCCACTTCATTTTCCTGCGATCTGAGGCACGGTTTAGGGTTTAAGGTTTAGGGAAGATGGGTATTATAAGGCTACTATAATAAGGGTACAATGATTGCAAGGGTGCGATAAGGGTGCTATGAGTGTTGTAAGGGTGCTATCCGGCTCAATGCAGGTTGATAGGGTTTAGGGCCTAGGGTTTCGGGCTTGTGGGGTTTATTGAAGATGGTCCGCAGTCTAAACACAACATCCTCAAGTTCATGATCCTGAACCCCCCGAAGCCGCAGTGTCTTACTGGGTTAATTGATCTATTCTAAGATACCATAATAAACAAACCGTATATCTACTGTAGATCCTGATTAATTAGGGTAACTTAACTTGAACTCTTTAATTAACAAGATCCCAGCCTAGCCTTGATCGTAATGAACCTTGAAATCCCGTGCAGGGCAAGGCGTGCCAGGATCGTAGCTTGGGGTCCATACTTAAAGGATCATGGGACTTAGTAATTAAGGTTATTATTTAGGGTCACTATACTTATAAGTACTTATAGCCCCAATTAAGGTACTTATAACCGTATTTAGTAAGTCCCATGATCCTCCAAGTAATTAGCAATACTGGGAGATCATGGGGCTTTGAAGGATTCCTTTAAAAGGCTCCTTCAAGGGTTCATGCATGGGTTCTAGAATACGGGGCTTTAGGGTAGACTTGTTTAGCTTTGGGGCTGTGAAGGGTTCCTTAAAAGGCTCCTTTAAGCGGTCGTTTACGGGTTATAGAATGGGGGGATTTAGGGTTGCTTCAAGGATCATGGGACTTCTTAGCTTTGGGGTTCAGAGTCTAAGGGTGCCTTTAAGGGATCTCTATGGGTTCTAGAATAGCCGGTTTCAGGGCATACTTGGAGGGAACGGTAGGATGATGGGACTTTTTGGCTTTGGGGTTTAAAGTTTAAGGGTGTCTTCAAGGGGTCTTTACGGGTTCTGGAGTAGTGGTTTTAGGGTGTACTGGGAGGACCATGGGGCTTTTTAGATTTAGGGTTACTTCAAGGATTTCGAAAAACGTAACTACAGCTATACGTCCCCATATGCCCAACTAAGGTACTTGTAACCTTACTTTCTAAGCCCCAAGCTCCTCCAAGAGACATACATGGGTAGTTGTCAAAATTAGGGTCCCTTGTGGGGTACCCTAAAATAATCGGTGCCGTACTATATCAAGACCCCAAAAGGAACCTTAATTTTGACTATCACCCATGCATGAAATTCCCCTGAGCTGTAGTTGCACAGCCATGCTTGCATGGTTAAAGCAACAGGCCTCCACCTGGAACAGCTTGCTTAGGGCCCAGTCTACTAGAATCATCAAAAGGAACACCCAGAATAGTTTTGGTACTAATTAAGGCCCCTACATTCATCCGTGCACCAAAAGACAAGGCTGTCTGTAGTGATTGTAGCTTGGCTTTCGGGGTCATAATCAGATTAAGGAGACAATACTACTAATCACTCCAACCTTTTGAAGTACAGGCTCCAGTCTTTAGAGTTCAGGCTGTTCCACTGCTTTGGACTGTGGCGCCTTGGAGTTGGAAGCTTATGTCTTCGTGAGGGCGTGTGTGCTGGGATCTTGTCTACAGTCTACAGATGTCAACTGAGGTTGTGGGACTGCGACTATGCTATTCTCTGGTTACACATACTTAGTAGAAAGATCGAAAAACGTCTGAGGTCGACATCCTTGCCGCTTTGCCATAACCTCTGCAAGTAGACTGCAAAAGAAGTGAAGAGAGGGCTTCTGGAGAGGGGGTGGGGTTGTAGGTCTACCCATAGGTCCCATAGTAGTTCCTTTTTGGGGTTCGTATTCAGAATCCTATAATCCCAGATAGGAACTAGCATATGGTGCCTATGGGTAGAGTAAACTGCACGGGAAATCATTGGTCCTCCCCAGTGCGCTGATGCGAAACGTAGCTGGTGCGGATGCTGTCATCGCTCAGCTGATCCTCGCAAGAAGCTTGTGGTGGTTTGGATGCAGATGTGGTTTGCCAATGGTGGCTGTGTTGTTTCGATGTATTAATGGCTTTCTGTATTAGCATGCGAACGGCTGCGCATGCTCGTCTTACTGTATGTCTCTTTCGGCTTGCCCGCTGAGTCTCTCCTCTCTCTCTCTGCCTCTCTCCCTCTATCTTGATGTCTGTCTCTGCTGTATGTATGTATGTCTACATATATATATATATATACATAGACACATACATAACGCGCATATATGTATTTGCTTAGTTATGTAAAACCATGAACCCGCCTATTTACCTCGCTCGCTACATTGCATGTGTGTGAATCTGCATGCGTGCTGAGTCTATACAGTCTATACATATATACATATATATATATATATATGCAGGCATACATAGACATCCATTGGCTACATGTACTCATCTTCACCGGAATATGGGGGACTCTCCCCAACCTCATCCGAGCGACGGGACATCTGCGATTGCTCCTGCACCTCCGACGCAGACATCTATGACCCATTGTCCAGATCTTGCGCGAGGTCCTCTACTGCCTGGATCTGCGATTTGTCCTGCATGGACATCTGTGGCCTGTTATCCAAGTGGTGCATGAAGTCCTCTGCTGCCTGGATCATGGAGTGGACACATCCCAGCAGCCGCGGTCCATGATAGATTTCCTGTCTAAGGCCAGCACATCTCGTGGAATGCGCTTAACACCATCGCCGGCCAGAAGCTTCCAAGCCAAGAAGAAAACCAATGCGTGAGCTGCTGCACGCAACTCACGCAGTTCATCTTGACCTGACTAGTCTTACTGCTAGTGCCGATGCAATCCGTGAGTAAACCCTGCCACGCAGCAGGAGCAAACGTCGTCGTGGTAGCATGGTAAAACAACCCTGGATAAACACGTTCAACATTCAGGTACTATACACGTAAACATCGGTCTGAGAGCTTCTGAGAACATGTCAACGGACAACTTATACCTACTGCGGCGTCGCATACGCGAGTACAACTGAAACGCCATTCGTCTCAACAATCTCTCCTTGGCGTATCGTCAAGAGCCACTTCCCTACATAGCTGTGGCAAGAGAGGCCCGAAAGAGCCCTAGAGCTTCCAGTTCTTAAATCGTAAGTTACGACCACATGTAGCCCAATGCTCCCAGGTACCTTATCGTTGGGTTCTTACGGGGTCGAGGGCCCTAGCTATAAGGTCCTTGGGTGATGTAACCTATGATTTAGGTAACTGGAGCCTTAGGGCCTTAGGGGAGCATCAACTACAAGCGAATGGGACGGGGCGAGGCCAAGGGAGCGTCAATTCCCAGGCCGAAAGGGTCCCGGACGAAACCCTAGACCCTGAAGCCTACGAAACCTAAAGCCCAAATCCGAAACCCTATCAATCCTAAGGTCCAAAACCCTACAAACCCCTAAACAGTAAATCTTAAACTCCCACAAACCCTAAACCGTACAAACCCTACAAGCCCTAAAAGCCCTGAACCCTAGACCCTAAACCCTAAACCCTAAACCCTACCCTAAAGCCCTAAAAGCCCTAGGGGCGCCTGATCCGAGCCCGGATCGCCTGCGCGATCTGCCGATGCGACGGCCGCTTTGATGGCCTTCGACTAGAGCGCAACGCAGGTTCCCCAGTGGCCCCCAAAATCAGAATAACATAAACATGCAATTAACAACAATGATAAGAAGAAGAATGATAATGAGAATACTAATACTGCTAGTAAGTAGCAATTGCTATGCATTATAGTTATATAAGTCCTAATATGTGCCGCAATATTAAGTTAGGGTACGCTTTCAATTACAACTCCGCCTGAGCAACGAAACCCCAGAACAAAAAGGGCGAATGGGTACTACAGTACTTGGAGACCTTGATGGGCTTTCCGTGCGAGTTGATGGTTCCGTTGAGTTTAGGCTTGACGGTTTGGGGTTGAGGGGTTTAAGGGGTTTAGGGCTTAGGGTGTAGGGGGTTTAGAGGTTTAGGATTTTTCGTAGGTTTCTTCATGCGTTTCCCGCACTTGTCGGGTTAGAGCCCTCGAGTAGGCTTTTAGTTTTCAGTTCGTGGGATTTCGGGATTGCTAGGCGCATTCCACATTCCAGATATTGTCAGCTGAAAGCACCTATACTGAACTTGGAACCCTAGCAAAAATTATACATTTAGCTGTTTCTTAGGGATTATAATAGCCAAAAAATTAAAATTGTTTCTAAGTACGCCTAAGAAACCTCGAAGGTGCTAGACAGCAGCTGAGCTTGAGTTGCGCTTCAAGTCAAGTCCCCTAGTGCAGAGGATTTCCTGGTCAGGATAAGCACCCAAAACAACAAGGGACCTATGCTGCTATGACTTTGATTGGAACATTGGGTGTGATGAGGTCTAAGGTTGAAGGAGGAGCGATGGCCCTGATGATTTCGAGAAGAGTTCGGGGCATCAGGCTATCATATCTTCGACATCATTTGAATCTACGGTTGGAAGCGTTAGGGTATACGATCATCAGCCAGTTCGCAAGGCATAACCCTAAACACACACCAGGATCATTATCAACATATTACCACCATGTCTGTTCTCATTGTAACTGCTACTATTAGCAATCTAGTTATTGCTTTCTCGATTATTCACGACTCTATCTAGCACAAACTCGTCGGTGAAACTTCGGGCCTTGACACGGGTTGCTGCAGATGTAAGCCGTGTAGACAAACTCTTGCGAAAGGTTTACGGTACAAGGTTGTGGATTTCGCGTTTACGGTTGCGGCCTAGATCTTGGAGCTCCCCTCAATGAAACACACCCTAACATAAATTGTGCTGCAAACACACGGCCCTGCCCTGCAGACTCATGTGTAACAGTGTAACCCATAAGTTTTCGACAACCTCGAACCAAATTAAAATCATGAACTGCTGCTCTCGTACAGAGCCGAAATTTGCATTGGTTTCCCAAGTTTGCAACCCCAGCTCAAACCTTCTAATGCCACGACCCTAAAGTGTCACCTCCTCCGCAATCTTCTTCGGTGCCTGCCAAAGATTGACAAACGCCAATGGTTTTCCGTTTGCATTCTCCATGACGACAGGACGATATCCACGGATCTACATATATACATATATTTATATGTATGTGTATATATATATAGATATAGATAGATAGATAGATAGCAACCGCTATTATACTATGCTGATAATGACATTCGTTTCAAAGTGTGTAAGATGTAGTTTGATTAAAATGCCGTGGTGTCTGGGCTTTCGGGCCTTTGCTGAGTCGATTCACTTCGTTTGGGTTTGGGCTTAGGGTTTGAGGGGTTGCGGTTTAGGGTTTAACTTTTCAGGGTGCGGGCTTTAGGGTTGTTTAGGGTTCGGGATGAAGAGATGAAGTACTGCAGAAAGTATACAACACCGTTTACCCAAAAAACAAACCTAAAAAGGCATGATATCAGTACTACTATCCTTAACCAAGTACTCACATCTCGCTTGCTTCAGACCCACACCCAAAAGGGGGGTATGTAACTCCTATCCCGTCCCAGTAAGCTTACCGTACATAATCGGTGGTGTTGGGCTTGGGGTTTACCGCCTCAGATTCGGGAAGCTCGGACGTTTGCGAAGATCGTCTATTCCGTGTTTGCTGATATCACAGGCCTCAAACAAAGCACGCCCACTATAATCGTTGAAGCACACTCCGCTACCTCGTCCTACAGTCCATGCCGAGACTCCACTGCTAAATAGGAGAATCGTGATGTTTGGTGCGCCTCCTCTAGAGCTGTGGCAGAACGTTTGACAGCATTTCGGCGGCGCCTCAGCTTGCGCCGTGGACAGGCTTGCAGATTGAGAATATAGGGTGTCGGGAGGCTTTCTTTGTGAATTGCCGTTGGGTTGTGTAGCTTGGCCCGGGTGCAAGACTCGTCGTGTTAAGTAGGGCGACTTAAACCCCGCATTACAAGGCCCCGTTCGTGAAAACGGATGAGCCAGCTCAAGCACGGCTCTACATCGACTCTTCACACATCCGATGCAGGGTCTTCCCTGCAAGACGAAGACATCCAACATCGAGCCTCAAATTCTGTGAGAAACGTTTCGTGGAGATACGAGGGTAGGATGCAACGCCACCTGAAAGCTAAAGGGTTTTGTGTGTTGTCGTCCATCCTGAAGCCTTACGCCGTGCAGAATGTGTAGGATATGCAGTTCCGTATCATCGGACCGGGTAACTAAGTTATACATAAGGATGCTATAGTTGTATCTACATGTAGTTCCAAGTAGGGTAGGGTACCTTATGAGATTACTTGCTCAGTCCCGCGATCCGCCAAGTAAACCCCGAGCCGAGTTCTCCGTCACAACCCGGCCAAAGCTGCAGGCCCTAAATTTTTGGAAAAGTTTACCCATAGGCCCCAAAGTAGTTCCTTTTTGGGATTCCCTTATAGAATTCTATATATATATATATATATATAAACCCCAAAAAGGAACTACTTTGGGGCTTATGGGTAGGCTTGAGGCTTAAGTACCGAACAAGAAGAGCCCCGGACCAGACACTCAAAAGCAGTGGCTCCGTCCCTAAATTTCCACATCCCTCATAAACACCCTAAACCCTAATTAAGCCCAAAACCCTAAATCCTAAACTTCATGCTTTCATCGACGACCCAGCCAAACCGCAGCTAGCCCTCGGAAGAACCTGGAGCTGAAACTCCCCCAAACTGTAATCTGAACTTTGCTGGGTCCATGGCTTGCCCGGCTGGCGCGCCAGGAGCGCTGCCACCGTTGCGGCTGCACCGCCTGGTCACTGACATAGGTTTTATGATTCGTAGCCTCAGGGTCAGGGTTTAAGGATGTTGGGTTGGAATGTTGGAGACTGGAATTGTGAGTGAGGCTTTCAGTTCTTGACCCTGGACTTATAGACAGATACCACAGTCAAGGGCACGACCCAGCTGGAGTGCAGGGGTCTCGGCTTCGATCATTTGGGTCGTGCTGGGCGCGCTGCTCCGGCACAGCAACTGAACCATAGGAAAGAATCCGTCATTTGGGCTATTCGGGGCTGGTAAGTTTCTCGACGGATTGCACGAAAAGCTGTCAGCTAAATAAGACTAAGTATGCAGTACTGAAAGAGTCTGCGCATCGTGCCATGACATCGCCGTTGTACTGAGTCTAAAAGGCCATGGGCAAGTAGAATAGCCTGCAGACGGAGTTGAGGCATGACACAAGACACTGTCGCAGGCTCCACGCTACGCCGCTATGTGAGCCGATAGCCATCCAGTCGATTTGGGAGTTTCCGAAAATACGGGACCCTAATATAGTGTACCCTAAATAGTAGGGTCCCTACAATAGTTAGGGACCCCAAGATAAGGCACAAATAGTAGGATCCTTACCTGGACCTTCCTTTGGTATCTTTATTTCGATCCTTTGGGGTTTTGTTATGGAATCTCTCTGATGCGGTCACTTTTGAAAGATCGGCCATAAATCCTCTAAAGCGGCCATATTCTATAAATCCGACTTCCGAGTGCGATGCCGAAACATTTTCAGCATCAAACTGAACCGTTTCCATATTATCGACCCCGAGGTCAGCCTGTGCATGTTTGTTTGTGTATGCGTGCCCAGCCTCGCCAGAAAGTACCTCAATTGATGCCAGGTCACAACATGGGCAGTTGCATTTGGCATCGACTTCAAGGTCGGACTGGCTTGTCTTCAACTTATGCATTCGCGATTGAGAAGTGGCATGCTCATGCATATCGGGGATTTCTCCAGGCTCCAATGTCCAGGGAGTTTTCGAGGCATGTCATGTGCAACAATGAGCGATCAATCTAGCACTTTTACATGTGCAGTGGTAGAAGATGGACTCTTCTGATGGTGCTGCCATGGCAAGCGCCCCTTCGGCCCCTTCGTGCCCTGTGCTTTCGGCATGGGCAAAGAGCACTGTGGTGATGTCCCAGCTTTTGAAGGATAAGCTTGTTATCCTGCAATACCCCACCTTGTCCAGAGCCTCTTTGTCTGACA